AGTCTCTTTGGAGTTAATTAACTGCAAGGTTGATGAAAAAGCACTACACTAATCATGCTGGCAATCCTAAATCATTTATGGAAGAGATGGCAATAAAACTCAGAACAAAACTAACACAAAAGACTGGGCTACGCTATAAAAATGTGGGGATATTTTCTCCCCACATTCCTCTTATTGTTTGGTATTTCCCCCTACCGTCTGGGATAGAGTTCCTGTCCCACATCTTGCTTTTGCCTCCTGCTATGAAATGTGTTCTGGGATTAAGTTGGCAAACAGAGCAATCCAAACGAGCAGAGCCTGGACAAATTACTTTTTGATTATATCTCCCAGTATCCACAGCCAGCAAGGCGAGCGACCCTATTGTCTGGGGATTTGGAAAGTTGTCGTAAAAGTAACTTTTCTAAGCTGTGCTACTGAGGTGGGGAAAGGCTGGTGAGTCTATTACCAAATGTAAAACTCCATAGAGGAAGGTCGCGCGGGCAGAGTAGAGAAAGCTCGAGAGGAGGAAAGGCGCGCGGGCGAGGATGACAGGCGCGTGAGAGAAAGTCAGTTGAAACGGTTGAGAGAGGAGAGGGAAGGTGCGAGAAGCAAGGTGTGCCGTGAAAGGGAGCAGATAGATGTTTTTCTAACTACCGAAGAGGGAAAGATCTCTAAGGAGACGGAGAAGGTGTCCGTATTTAAAGAGAGAGAGTCGGGAAAGACCATTGAAGATGTTCAAGCCTTCTCAGTTCCAGTGAAGAGATCTGCGCAAGCCCTGTTTGAAGGTGGAAGTGAGGAGGGAAAGACCAGTGCGACAAGACCAATCATTCCGGGGCTGAGTCCCGAAGAATGGACCGTATTGGTCTTCCCGAAGAAGCGTGGTCCTGCTCGAATAGTGCATCACATTCCCCCAGAAGCGGAGAAGGAAATATCGAGAGAGGGGGATTGGGCCCGCCACCCTTGTTGCGGGACCCTGTGCGCTGTTCGCAACAATTTTCTGAGACTACCCACGGAAGAGGAAGAGAAAACAAGAACCTATTACTAAAAGGGTTAGAGGAAGATAAATCGTTGTTATGGTTCTGGGAGAGTTCTCCTCCCTCGTTGTCTGTTCATGGTTCAAATGTTAGCAACAAAGAAATGACAAGTGAGCATATTAATAAAAATGTTTCGTTAAATACTTCTGAATCCTCTCTTATGTCTCCAAATAAAGAAAAGCCCTTTAAAGACAGAGAACCCACTCACACTGGGGATTTGGGAAGTTGTAGTAAAAGTAAAAGCTGTGCTACTGAGGTGGGGAAAGGCTGGTGAGTCTATTACCAAATGTAAAACTCCTCCAGCACAGTGAGACCAGGTTGAAAGGGGAGGAGGTGTACCTTGCCCTCATACTTTGTCCCTCTTTCCGTCCAACTCAAGAACGGGCATAGTTTATGGCCTCTGGGGAGGCGTAGAGCCTGGCCACAGTGTGATATTCGGCGCAATCTCCTCCTTGCTTCAAAGGTGCTTCTCTCCAGTGCAATCTATTTTGAACTCCCACTTAAGCGATTCTTCCACCCACACGGGAGCCTCAAGGCTTGGGGAACGCTGACAGCTATCTTGGAGAGGCTTCCTGCCTCTTTGCTGCTCCTCTCGGCTTCCTAGCTTATTGCGCAACTGCTCTCCGCTTCCCAGCAGATCGATGAGGGAGGGAAGCCTGGACGTGGTGTTGGAGAGACTTGCTGCCTCTCATTCAACAGCTGGCTGCCTCTTCAGCTGGCCACCTCTGCTCCTCAGCGGATTCACTAGCCACAGGACCAGGGGCACTCAGAGGGATTTGCAGCCTCGGCTCAAGCTGTTCTTGTTCTTACTCTCCCCCACCCCGGGGAACAGTTCTTACTGTTCCCTTCCTGGTCCTGGGTCTGTATTGAAGGTAATCTTTAGCCCAAATATTATCAAATATTATATTATCAAATATTTGAGGGTGCTAACATGTGAAATTGACATGGCCCCAAGAGGATCTATCCATGAGGTTCTGTGCCATAGAATCCTCCTCCTCCCCTTCTTAATCTTCATCATCATTTTCTTCTTCTTCTGCATTTTTCTTAATCTTCATCATCATCATCATTTTCTTCTTCTTCTGCATTGTCTTGCGTGCTGAAGATGCAGTGCAGTGAGGGACTGTGTTTTTTATGCTTCGGTCTGTGAAAACAGATGGGTCTACAATTTAGCTGTACTTACGTGGGAACGCCATGTAACAATCATATAGATCCACAAAGACCTGTGTTTTGGATTCATGTAGACATCTGGTTCTGTAAGAGCCAGAGCCCCAGATCCAGATGTTTGCACAATGCTAACATCATGCATTGGGGGTTCCACAATTTCTATTTTTCTGCCTGTGGACACAGGTAGGACCCCTAAGTGGATTGTGGTTTAGTAAATACTGTATTCCATGCAAGAATCATGTAGCTTGATGATGATCTTCTCCATGTTTTTGCACCATGACATACTTGTAGTTAAGAAGCTGTGTCTTTGGAGGAGTTTGGGGGGGGTTGTCATTGTGTATATCTGAAAGAGATACAGTATAAGAGTTCTGGTGGTTTGGGAAAGATCCTATGTAAACATTTTATGGATCCATGCAATATGATACATGTATTTGTGCCAGGTCAATACCATGCAGTGAAGAAAATGATTTTTATTATTATTATTATTATTAGTTTTCTCCCAACAAAAGGACCCAAGTGGCTCACAGCATTATAATTCACACAATTAAAACACAATAAGTTAAATATTAAAGACAAATTAAAATATAAAATTAAAATTAAATTAAAAGATTAAAACATGGAAACATGGAGAAGATTTTTATGGGTTAGTCTAGAGACATGCATGACCTGGTTTTGATTAAGCATCTATGACAATGAAAAACTAGTTGGATCCATAAAAACATGTGCTTGAGCTCCATTTTCTTATTCCATGCCGGAATCAAGAAACAAAAGATGCAAAATATTTGTAATTGTGTCTGTTTAAATAAAAGGGTGCAGTAATGGGACTGTGATCTGGGAATGTATGTGTTCCAGAAGATCAATGCCTTGGATCCATATATTTTTCCAAAATACTGTATATGTAATTTTTATACTTCAGCAGAATCATAGGAGATGTCCATGATTTGATGGTGGAGTAGTATAAATACCAGGCAAACTATCTGCAGATCCAAGTGGATCTACAGCTGGGATACATATTTTTTTCTGTTATAGTAGCACCATGAAGTAAGTGATCTGTGATTTTTTTATAGTTCAGTCCGTGAAACATATGATTCTATGGAATTTCAGGAGGCATATGTGTGGAAATTCTATGGATCCATTGATCCATCCATTCCTTGGATTCATGTTACCCTGTTTCTCCAAAAATAAGACCTAATCTGAAAAGACGCCCTAGTATGATTTTTCAGGATGCTCGTAATATAAGCTCTACCCCCAAAATAACACCCAGTGAAGTGAAACCCCACCCTCCATCCTTGTGCAGCAAGCAGAAAATAATGTGACTGTATTTGAATAAATGTAGATTGTTGTACATGGAAAAAAATAAAACATCCCCTGAAAATAAGCCCTAATGCATTTTGGAGCAAAAATTAATATAAGACCCTGTCTTATTTTCAGGGAAACATGGTATTGTATCATGTCGTTTTCTGGAAATCAGGAATCTATGCATTCTCTGGGTATATATGAAACCTATTATTTGACAATTATTCAGTATGAGTGACAAAAAAGAATCGCATGGTCCATGAGGAAGCATTCCTCATAACTGTGATTTAATCTTTATGTTCTTCTCAGACACCCTGGGACTCACCTCTAAAGGACAGTAGAAGGGGCAAATGATTTCCATGGTGTAGTTTGTAGATAGAGTCTATGACTTGACACTGGTTTGGGGAGGTTCCCACTTAAACACATGTAGATGCGAGAGGGGCTATGCCTTGGATCCTCGTTTGGTTTGGTTTGGTTTGGTTTGGTTTGGTTTGGTTTGGTTTGGTTTGGTTTGGTTTGGTTTGGTTTGGTTTGGTTTGGTTTGGTTTGGTTTGGTTTGGTTTGGTTTGGTTTGGTTTGGTTTGGTTTGGTTTGGTTTGGTTTGGTTTGGTTTGGTTTGGTTTGGTTTGGTTTGGTTTGGTTTGGTTTGGTTTGGTTTGGTTTGGTTTGGTTTGGTTTGGTTTGGTTTGGTTTGGTTTGGTTTGGTTTGGTTTGGTTTGGTTTGGTTTGGTTTGGTTTGGTTGGCTGGCTGGCTGGCTGGCTGGCTGGCTAATTGGTTGGTTTGGACACTGCAATGTCATGCATTACAGGATTCGTGATTTCTGAGTTGTAATCTGTGGACAAAGATGGGACCAATGATTAGACAATGGACTGGGATAGAACCTACTCAAAAATCATGTGGATTAATGAGGATCCGCACTTCAGATCCATTTTCTGACCCTGTAATGCAGTGCACTGAAAGATCCATGAATTATGTGGTGTAGTCTGTTGACATACTGTAGATGGGACCTGTGATTTGACTGTGCTTTAGGGAGGATCACGTGTAAATATATTGTGGATCCATGAGGATTTATACTTGTTGAAAAACAGCCTGACAATTGTTGTGTGTTTGGGTGAGAAATGGTTAACTGATGAAAAAAGCTTTGGGGATTTCTCCTTGCATGGTGTCACTTTGTGAATGGTAGTGATCACAAGAGGATGTCCTGTAGACCATCTTGATTGCTGCCATGGATGTTGTCAACATTCTGGCTGCCCTTTACTTTGTAAAGATTGCCATCCTTTTTCCTGCTGGCAACGCAGGCATGAGATTTTGCAGGAATACTGGACCATTTCCAGGCTTTATGAATCATGGGTACAGAAGCACATTATCTCACATTCATAAACCGGAGATTTCTTGAAGGATTGAATCTTATTTTTAGCTATATCTTGTCTATTTATATATTGTTATGTGTCAGCTATACACGTTATTGTAAAATTTCTGATTCCGTGCTGACATCCCTCTCCTTTTACTTCCCCCTTTTCTAACAGCTGACAAGGGCAGTGATGACTTCTACTCAAAACGGCGCCATCTTACAGACCTGGCTACGAAAGGGAACCTGCCACTACACCCAGTGCGGGTTGAGGACAACCGACCGTACATCCTTGAAGGTGGTACGATGAAACAAAATGGGCACAAATCGAAAGCCACAAAGCCACACATGCACCCTTTAGCTTACAAAACCTGGGACCCTAGCGATCAGTCCCTCCGACGCCAAGCCTATGCAACCAAAGGGAGAAACCTCGTGGGGGATCCCACCCTGAGCGACCCATTGACGACACAGAGTCAGCATTACTTACCCACTCAGCCATACTTCATTACTAACAGCCAGACAGAAGTGACTGTCTGAGGTTGAGTCTCTTTTACTCCCTCTTTCTTTCCTTCTTTTTTTTTTTAAAGATCCACTCTGGGGAAACAAAACAAAACAAACAGAACTGGAAGATGCAAAAAAAAAATTTGACAGTGATGGTGATGCGTAAATAAAGGTGATGCATAATTAAAACTCAAAACAGGGAGAGATAGACATCCTTAGTTGATGAGAGATAGACAGTCCTATTCAGGGTAGCCAGCTATAAACTGAAGATTGGGTTAGCGCTATATAGCAATACACTGAAGGTTGTTCAAACTCCATTTGAATGTTATGCTGGAAATCAGTCTCTCTCCTCCCTCCCTCTCTCCCTCTCTCCCTCCCTCTGTCCTTCTCCAAATTCAAATCCATGAAGAGAAATAGCACAATTTAGAGACACCATCTGTCTGCTAAAGAACTCTTTCCATGATGTTCCCGGCTTGATGCAAGCAGGGGCACAAAGACATACTGAAAAATACTGTTACGGTCAGGACACTTTTCGTACATATTTTGAGATTAATCCTGTTCATAAACCTGCTGAGGAGGAAAAAGCTGAAACAAAGAGCAAAACATCGTGATAGAAATTTTAATGCTTATCGTCAACATTTTTGGTACCATCGCTATCAAAGATCCAAGCAAAAAATATATGCATACGTAGAGGAAAGAGAAGAAGACTCAAGCAAAGTCTAGGAAGACTGTTACTATTATAAGCATATGGAGACTTTCTAGTTCGTGGGGAATATGGACAGGCTGGCTTTTGTTTCGGTTCAATGACACACATTTTTCAGGATTTTCATGTTGGTGGGAAAAATAGAAGAATAACAATGAGGACGAGCATTCCTCTCACCCTGATCAGAACCGCCCCTTTTCATGGGCACACAGCAAGCATAGCTGCTTATCATCCTGCGGCTTCTTTTAACTCTCCCTCTCCACCTCAATTTTCAATTACTTTGGACTGAAGATACATACGTGTGGGTGGTGCCTTTATTGTATTACTAATGTTCGATGACAGTCTTGTTTTCAAGTGAAACTTGTATCAGAGTCTTTCCTCATGTTTACAGGCAGCTCAGCCAGTCCCATGTCCCCTCATTCATTTTTTTTCCTGAGAACAATCCCATCCCAAGTTTCATTGTTTTGTTGTGGTTCCACACAGCTTGCCCAGAGGTTGCATTCCTGCCTTGACTCTTTTTTTCCATTGAAGTGTATGTTTCTAGCCTCAGTTTGTCCTCAAGACACACATGCCATGTTCACATTTATGAAGTTATTCCTTTGTAAACTGTTCCCTCCCTGTCACCGTCTCTCTCTCTCTCACTCTCTCTTTCTTCACAGCTCCCCCCCTATTGTTAATCCTTCTTTTACAGGTCCACGTAGTTTAAGTGGTTTTTTTGGGGGGCACACATGCTACAATTTCCCATAAGCTCCCCCCCTTATTGTTAATCCTTCTTTTACAGGTCCATATAGTTAAAGTGGTTTTTTTGGGGGGGCACACATGCTACAATTTCCCATAAAAGAAGACTGCATGTTCAAAACAAAACCCACAATGTCTCAGTTTCTTGTTATGTAAATGTGTTTGTTCTTGCTAAGAAACCCACAGACATATGTGGCATAAAACTCCTGGGATAATTAGATACATTGCAATTAATGCTAAGGTTGAAGAAACACATGAATATTATTGTGAAGGCATGTTTGAGCACTGACAACCTGAAGCTGTGCTGTAGCTGAAGATTATTATTTTTTGTTACAATCACTGTGTTTTATATCTTTCCATTTCCATTCCACTCAGCTGGTTGCAGTATTAGAGACAGACCCTCTTCGATAGTGCTTGCACCGGGCTTTTAAAACTAGGAGGAGACAGAGGCTGGAAAGGTAACATTTTTGGATAGGAAGTCCCAGAATGTCCCAGAATGAAGCATTTTGGGAACTGTATTTCAAAGGAGGGACTTTTCCATTTCCTTGTAAGAAATATATTGGGACATTTGGCTTGCACACTTGCAGGTTGATTAGGAAATGCTCCTACTTGGAAGTGAGCGCAATACTTCACATTTATGAATTAGTGAACTGTAGAGGCTAGTGAATTGGAAGGACAGGGAGATGGAAAGTGTTTGGAAAAGTTACTGTTCAGGAATCTGCTAAAGTTACAGTACTTACAGAATCTGCCAAAATAAGCATTTTGACTGGGAAATCTGGGGAGCTATGGTCTGGCCAGTTCAATGTATTGGGTACCCGGTTGTGGAGCCAGGCGTTGGGAGTTCCAATCCCCCCCACTATGCCTCCAGGCAGAAGAGTCAGTCCGTATAGCCTTGGGAAAGCTGTGCAGTTCCAGAACAGCACCAGAAGGAGAGAATGGTAAACTATTTCTGATGACTCCATGCCTAGAATACCCTGGAAAGGTTCACCCTGAATCAAAATCAATCTGATGAAATGTATGACTCCCTGCCTAGAATACCCTGGAAAGGTTCATCCTGAATCAAAATCAATCTGATGAAATGTAATTATTATTATTAATGCAAAAAAAAAATAACCTTTTCAAAGTCTGTTTCTCAGCAAGCATGTAGGATCAACTTGGCCAATGCATCAGAAGACATCTGATCTGAATCTGACCCCTAAGTGAAGGGGAGGCATATAATTCAGGGTGAGAGTCCATGATCTGCTTGCAGAAGGCTCCAGTCTTAATCCTTGACATGTTCATATCAAAGGATGCATGACGACAAGCATGCCTATCCTGTTTGAAACTAAAGGATTGTGTTATCCGTGGAGATAAAGCAAAACGAATCGATCTGTTAGTCAGTCACTTTAATTGTATCCTGCCTTTACTCATGCAATATGCTCAAAGTGGTTCACAGCAAAGCAAGGCAGAAAAATAACAATACGGCCCTAACTGAGGAAAAATCAGGACAGCATCATAATAAATAAATGAACATCCATAACAAAACAACTAATTAATCATTCATTACCAGTTTAAAACTGAATAAAACAAGAAGGCTCTGTCTTGACCACACTCCAACACACTTTTAAGAGATTCATTTTAATGGGCTTAATGAAGTAAGCTTATTTTATCTAGACTGAGAGAACCAATTGTCTATGGATCTTTGGGACTGGTTTGGGAAAATGAACCTTGCAATCACTTCCAAATTATTTCAGGGTTCCTTCGGAACTTTACAGAACCGTTACAGAGTTAATAAAATGGGAACGTTATGCAGAGCTTTGAAGCACTGCTGTTTGGAAATGAAACATAGAAACTAGAACTTTCCCTACCTGTAATCTAGCAGTTTTGTCTCCTCTGGCTGACAGGTCACTCTATGGGATTTCTGAGACGGAAAGTATTTTCCCCTCAATTCTTCTGTCTGAGATCCCTGGAGGCTGGAATGCTGACACGATGACATAGGTGAGCAAATGCTGGTTGAATTGCATACACGTCTTCAGGGACTAAATTGGGCAGCCTGAAATGATGAACCGAGCAGTTCAATGAACTTTCCACCAAAGTGTAATGCAATCCCTAGAGCGAAGGTGAGCAGTGCAGGGCCCCGAAGATGTTTTTGTGGAACACAACTCACAGCAGGCCTCACAACGGATCACAGTCGCCATCCCCAGTGCTAAACTGTGAAAACTATGAACTCCGCAAAAAATGGATAGCCCCAGAGTAGACTTCTCTTTTTTTCAGTCATTTGAGAACTGAACAGGTTCTTGTGGCTGCCTTACATTTTAGCAGTAGTTTACTAATGTCATGAAAAAGTCTACGGAGAAAGGCATGACTTCTTAACCCATGGTGGCTGTTCATTCTATGCTTCTGGCTCCAGTGAAGGAGGAACTTCACAGCTCCCGGAGCCCCCCCAGATAGGCAGACTGAAGAGTTGGCAGCTTTAGCTAAAATTCAGTCATGGGCATTGTTTCACTTTATGCTTCTCATTTTTCAAAGCAAAACACATATATCCTCAGTGTTCTGTAAATTCCTTTTCACTCCACCAGTGCAAAAAAAAAGGACCCCTTTTAAAGAATAGTCTGTGAATATCCTTCACCCCATTTGGGCATCTGCCATATTCCTCTCTTTTTCTTCCCACGATGCCCGAGATTAGGTCCAGAGTATTGTGGGATAGATTTGCTACTGCTTGCAATGATAGACAAAGAAAAAGGTTAGGGAGAGGAAGAAGCTGCACTGTTTTTCCATGGCTCTTTAAAAAGCGAATTCACAATTAGTGCATCCACATGATACAAAAAGATTAACATTTGGCCTTCTCATGGGTGAAACATTGCTCTTAATCCATGTGCTTAAGATACAGACTGCAGCTCTGCTCAAATAACCCATCCAGGTTTTATTTGTGTGACTTGAGCATCTTTTTAGCGTGGAAGCTACTTTAGTAAATGTACGTTCTGTGACTATACACGTTATTATATGTTGATGATAACAGAGTTTGAGATCACTTCCTACAAAGACAAAAAATGTTTGTTTTTTAAAATTGTTTATTTGTAAACATATGTATTCACTATATTAATATGAATTTCTTACCGGGCAATAAAAATAAATTCTATGTTAGTGTGAACTGCATGCTTCTTTTGTCAATCCTCAGCTTTAATGCTCCTTCATCAATATTCCACTTCCTCAAATGCTTTTAGGGATGACTTCTCAAAAATTCTCCAGCAGTTGAATTGTGACAACTCGCACAAGATGAGCCAGAACAAGAGGCCCAAGCCACGGTGGAAGGTGCAAAGTGAAGGCCATCTGCAAATATAGTTATCACTGGTATTCTCCACTTTTAAACACAGTTTTCAAAAGCATTTTAAAAAGAATAAAGCTTTTTCCATAACAATGGTTCCAATCTTGTAAGAAAATTTGGAGAAGTTCCTGGAGAAATTTGATGAAATGGTCTTCACAGTTTCTTTGCCCACAAAAGGCAAGGCATATGGAGACACTCTCTGCAGAGTTTCATGATTTCCATGTTGTCTTTACTTACCCCTACACAACAATATAGAGTTGGACGCCCTCCCTCAATCTGCAGGGGGTGGAGTCCAAGCCCCTCTGCGGATGCCGAAAAAAATTGTAGTAAAATGCCATAACATGGTGTCTAGCTCCTTCCAGTGGCCAGTTCTGATAATGTCACCTTCAGAAATATATATTTCTAGGATTCATCACCTTCAGAAATATGTACAGTATTTCTAGGATTTTTCTTTTAGTATTTTTAGACTGGATCACTGAATCAGCAGATACTGATCTCACGGATAAGGGAGTTCTGCTTTAGTAGCAATACATTTTGAAAGGTGATTGATATGTATTTTGTATTTATTTAATTGTATTCATTTACTAGTTACATTTATAGCCCAACATTCCTTCCATAAATTCACGTGTATGACTTCCTGTTATGACCCACTTTGATCTCACAACAATCCTGTAAGGTAAATCAATCAGAGAGGGTATGAGTGGCTCAAAGTGACTCCTTGAATTTTGCTCTCTTTGGGATCTAGAACCTGGATCACTCAAATCCCATACTCTAACCAGTACAACACACAAACCCCTACACCACAGTGGCTCTGAATGAGTCTTACGTGAATCACTCTCATTTCTTGAGTGGGGGCTTGGTTACATGTCAAAATATTCCTGGTTTTGAGCCACGTTTAGCATGCTTGAAATTAATTTTAAAATATCCCCTTTGTACTCGTCAATACTTTGTACCCACAGAAATAATGGGCACCTGGCTTTGCACTGATGCAAAAGCACTTATCCGAGGCATGGATACACATGATTTTTATATAGGATCATCCCCAAGCCACTGTCCAACAGAGGTGGTACCTATGATTGGAGAGTGGTTTGGCGTTGATCCTACATTTAAAAAAATCATGTGGATCTATGAAGATCTGTGCCTCAGATCTTTCTTTTTCTCTCTCTCTGTACAGCAAAAACAGCTCTTCTCTCCTCGTTTAGCCTTCGAATCTGATTCACCTCTTGCCTCCCACCCTCCACCTCAAGTTTTCTACTACTAGGGGCACTGGGACAACCCTCTTTTTTTAAAAAAGAGAGAAGAGAGGCAGGAAAGGGGAGATTCAGAGCTCCCCCCCTGTTCCTTCTTCTCCTTCCCTCCTCTTCTTCATTGTCTCCTCTCCCTCCCTCCTTACCCCCCACAATCACAAATCAAGGACTCCCTCTGAGCTGGAGAAATAATCAGTTTCACTCCTGGGGGGGGGGAAAAGGAGGCAGGATTACATTCCCAAATCACTGTAATTTTTAAAAAGTGAACCCTCACTAGTGAATCAGCATCTAAATGAGGAAGCGATCAAGTAGACTTTAAGGGAGTGACTCCAAGAAGCGCACCCAGGCCCAAGGAAACATAGCAGGAAGGGGGGAAGGAGAGAAGGCAGACAGAATGTAAGGACGGGGCAACCAAGGTTTGGGTGTCCCTTTCATGAGGCACAAGCTAC